ATAGGGCTTTGGAGCGTGATGTCACGGGAGGGGGCGTGACCAGGATTTTTGGTTGAGGCGCCATGTTTCTGGGCCAAACAAAGCGCTAGCAAAAGAGGAGCGAAAGCAGACGGATAACACCAGTTAGTACTTGCTGTGTGGTCGGTTGTAATGTTAGATCGCATGACCGGCAAGAGAATAAGCTTGAAAATGGTTTATCTTTTCATTCTTTCCCAACTGGAAGCAACATGAGGCAGCTCACCTAGCGGATGCTACCAAAAGAAGGAGTCTAGCCTGGATAGCAGCTGTGAGATGAGCTGATATCCAGTTCTCGTCCATCTCCAAATATCTGTTGGTGCTCCAGACATTTTCATTCCGGTAAGTTCTAAATATGTTCATATCACTCTTTATAGCCTATTAGTTTGATTTGCGATGCGCTCTAAGGTCATAGCAAATTAGAACAAACATCCTACTTCTGCAAAATCATTTGCAGAACTACATTATATTTATAGAGTTGCTAATTATTTGGCATTATTGCAGGCAAACCAACCTATGAAATGGATGAAACACATCGTGACTGGGTTCCAACGCTACACAAGGGCCACTCCGAAATCCCTGCTTCAAACAAACCACCATGCCAATCAGATTACTTCTTCCATATGAGGATGAAGAGGTGACCCTTTTGGATAAGATGGTGAAGGTTTGCTGCGTTTTGGTGAACAGTGTGGTAGTAAAACCAGGGAAAAAGGAAACTTGCTCTTGTTAAATACTCTTAAAAGTGTTGTGCTGTGTGTATATATAGCAGTAGAGGGGAAAACTCCGACCCTCCTCCTCCTGCTCCCTTTTCTCCTCCTGCTCTCTTTTCTCCTCCTGCTCCCTTTTCTCCTCCTCCTCCTTCCTTTTCTCCTGCTCCCTTTTCTCCTCCTTCTCCTCCAGCAGACATTCATAGTGGAGGGAGGGTCTGTCAGCTACACCCCCCTGGGATCCGCTCCTCCTCTGCCCGAGCACCAACTTTCATATATGGCTGCTCCAATCACCATGCAGCCATCTCATATGTATGGCCAGCCAGGCACAGCTAGACAAGGACAGGTGAGACACTCAGACAGTTGTCGTTAGATATTTATTGATAAAGGTGCTTGAACCTCTTGGATGCTTCAGGCTAATGAAAGAAAAACTGTTTTGTTTACATGTTTCTGTGCTGTTTATCATTATTAGTCTTTGAAATGCTGGACTAAGTGTCAGTATTATGGATTTTTGTCCTTCTCCCTTTCTCCACACAATCTACTGTATCAGTTGCCTGTAAACAACATCCCATCGGCAACAACAGGAACTGTTCTTCCAGCTCCTCCACCCCACAGCTGCACTCCAAAGTCAGTTTCTCTGCTGCGTTTTCTCACTGATCTGCAGGTATCTGTCATTTATCTGCAGATGTGTGTGTGAATTATTGTAATCAGCCTCCTTTAATGGTGTCGCCTTACATTCAGTTTCACAGCATTACTCATGTTTTTAAAGTACTCTCCTCACAGTTGTACATGGTGGTAACACATGCTCTCACTCTGGGGTTTTTTCCTGTTGAAACAGAAAGCATCAAACCAAACAGGGTGCAGACCAGGCTTACATTAAGAAGCCCCCGAATGCCTTCATGCTGTACCTTAAAGAGCAGAGGCCAAAGGTCAAAGCAGAATTAAATATCGGTGACAGTGCAGCTGTGGGAGAGAGAGTAAGTGTGTAACTCTGAATACATTTATACATCTGTTAATGTTCTATGCTCTTGTTTGTGCATGTGTACCAGCTGTCCTGTAGTTATGTGTAGCAGCAGTGTGGCTGTGTATTTATACGAGCTGTGTGTTCTGGTGATCTTATATCCACAGTGGAAGTCGCTCTCAAAGAAGGAGCAGAAAAAATATTTTGACGAGGCGGAAACACAAAGATGTCATCACGCCACAGAACAACTATGTATGTCCAAAGTGCCAACATACAGTTCATGCATCTGCCTTTCACTGCATTGAATGATGAAACAGTCACTGCAGAGAGTTTGTATCAGCTCAGGAAAATTCTGATGTGTTTGTTTTTTTAAAAGAAGAAGAGAGTCAGAGATCGCAACTGCACCAAAGGTGAGAGAATATTTCGGGGAATTGTTTTCATGTCAAATGTGATGAAAAAAGTCAAAAATCTATTAAAAAAGAACCATTGTGTTTTTGCTTGTGTCTTCTGAACCTGAAGAGGACGCTCAGCAGGCCAAAACGCCTTGTATGAGGCCAAGTCAAGCAGAGCCCTCTTCTAATTCAGCTATGAAGGAACCGCATCAGCTGGATAGAGTCTGGGTGTGCCAGTGTTACGTCCCCACATAAAATTCAGGGGGCCCAGCTAGGGCCGTAACAGACAGCCACAGACCAGCCAGGTGTTAACACCCTTATCAATCAGAACACAGTACTGGTGCAAATGCCAAACACACTGAACCCGGTCAGTGTGCCTGTGTGCAATGTGCCACAACTTTATTAGTCCCTTCTGCCTCTCATCTGGAGTCCCCTCCATTCACACCACTGATCTCCTCTACTGCACCAAGTTCCTCAAATAGAATCACTCAGCATCATTCCTCTTGGTGGGAAATTCCCTAGACTGGTCCTCAAGAAAATCAAACCAACCCTCATGGATTCATTTGCATCATAGGCCTCCTCTGTGCATTATGCCAATTATCAGATATGCAATGCAGTGAAATCACTCTGTATGCAGAGCATATGCACACAAGGAAGAGCATCAGATATTCTGGATCAGCTGTAAGCGAATGGTTTTCAGTTTTTCTTGTTTTGCAGGTGAAATAAAGATCAGCAACATTTGTTTACCTTCCTGAAGTTTTGTATCACTTAGTTTTTTTTCCTGGTGCATATAATCCTAAGACTAAAGACTAAGTAAAGCGCTATACAAATACAGGCTATTTACCATGTGATAGTTGGGGTTTTAAATCTGGCTGTTGCAAACAGAGCTACAATATGAGAGAACTGTCAGCGCTTGCGTCGAATAAGTCTTTCAAAGCCGTCACTGAGCATTGTTACAGTATTATTTTTCACTATTATCTTACAAAACAGCAGTCCAGGTGTTGAGGAAACCAGTCAATCATCCATCACAATGAAAGCAAAGCAAGGCTAAAACTAGCAATGTCAGCGCTGCTCCCAATCTCCTAGTTTCAGCTGTCACAGCTTCTTTCTCGGCTAATGGCTTTAAGTTGCAGAGAAAAAGTGAAAGAAGCAGGGAGAAGAGTGAGCGGGGGGGAAATGGTGTCTGTGAAGGGATAAGATTTAGGCATTAGCAGTGACAAGTCAGCTACCTTGCAGGCTCCTGTTTGGTGGAACCATAGGCTGCATTCAAACATAGCTGCTGGGATGTCACCCATTGGTTTGTGAAGCCCAATTTGAAGGCTCAGTCACTATAAAAGTTTTTTGGGGGAGCCAGAAATGACCTTGCTAATATAAGGTTTGAAAAACTGTGCTAATTAGTGCTAAATAAAAATAAAACACAGGCTTTTCTTGCACTTAAATGCACAGAAAACCATATCAGGTAAAATCAAAATCCATATTACATTTTCCAAATTTTCCAAAAGACACCACAAGCATGGCTGATGAGCCCTTTTTAGTGGTTCAAATTAGCAAACGTAAAGCCTCATAGACAGCTCCTAGAGATTTCTCGAATGATGTCATGGGCACATTAAGAGTTTTCTGCCATATTGGATGTGATGCAACCACAAGGAACGAACTGGCCATATTTAGCCAGCTGGCTGGTCAGTCATCTCTGGAAGGTGCTGGTTGATTTAGACGCTAGCAGTTTGTCGTGGTCACCTGTCGTTTCTGCATAAGGCAGCCGACTTCTCTGCAAAAACTTTCCAACTACTTGCTGAGCTGTAGTAAAACTTGAAAAACTGGTGAGGCCAGCGTAGACCTTCAAAGTAAAAGCTATCCATCACATTTCAAAAAGAACAAATTTGACTTCAAAGGTGAGTGGTCTCTGTTTCCAGTTTCTCTAGTGCTTGGAGTGTAGTTTCCAGGTGTCTGTAGACAAGTCAGTGTGTTCCATGTAATCGTCGAATAGCAGCAGTAATCTGTAAGTAAAGCAACTGATGGACAGTTTTAAAAAGTGGTTGGGGAATACACATTGTCAACTAGCAACCAATGGTTGCCAAGATGAGTCTGGCCAGTCTGCCTGGGACTTTAATAATCAACCTCCAGCAACCAATTGCCAACAAGTTGGAGAATCCATATTTTTGCCTCCCAGCCAGTGGTTGCCAGATGGTTGCAGACTCTCTAGGCCCATGTGACTTCAACCTTACTAACTTCAAAATTGCAGACAAGTTGACATAGCCTGGTTAGCGGTCACATATCTGCAAAACCTCAACGGGCTACAATGCTTTTAGTCTCAGTGAAACTCCAAACTTAAAAAATGTTTAAAAAGGGGTTAATTAGCTATAGACATCAAACTATTTTTGTAAACACATTAAATTCAGCTGTAAATGTGGGCATTTACAGCCCCTTTAAGCAAGCCTTCAGTTTTTGGCAAAACCCTTCAGTTACTAGGGGTGTGGAGAAAATGGAAAGGCCTGACACACACAAGCACTGATGCAAATTATGTAAAAGTTCATAAAGGCCAGAGAGCTGCCTATTTGAATTAGAGCAGATAGGGAAAAGCGTTGCTACTGTGCCTGTTTAATTCATCCTCTGAAGTCACAGAGCGACGAGCTGGGAAAGAGAAGACAGAGAAAAGAGTGGGCACAAACAACAAAGAGACACTCAAATGAGACAAAACCTAAGAACCAGTTTAGATTTCTGAAAGTTTAAATATTGTCTGGAGATTGATAGCTTTTTTCTTCTGATCTTACACATTCAGCTCATTTTACTGCCACTTTATTCATCGTTTTATTGTGCCACCTTCACAACCTGCCTTTATCTGACTTTCTCCCTCGAGCCTGTGATGCAATCAATGGGTTTGGACAACTCCCATGGGCAGTTAGCCTTGACAGCTGACAGGGGCTGGTTTCAATGCCTGCCCCTGATGTGTGTGCGCACACGCCTGCATGTGCGTGTGTCAGGAAAGACTCAGGTGTGGACTGAGAGTAAAGGATTCAGTGGCTGATGTGATTAGAGAGATGAAAAAAGAGAGAAGTAAGGGAAGTGGACTTCATTTTTACAGTAATAATCCCATACAGCTGCATCAGGAAATGGAATGGCATTCATTTATCATCATTTGCCGAACCTTCAAAGGGAAGAAAAATTTCTCTGCACAATTTTCTGTCTTTTTTTTCACGTAGAAATGCCCACACTGCTCTCTAACCCATCAGTTTGACTTCTCTCACGACAGCAGCTTGTGGTCTATGTTAGTCCCCTAAAAACAGGCAGTTAGGTCATCTCCTTGCACATCAAAAACATTCTGCTGGCTTACGTGAGTCATTAAGTGACAGAGCATTAAAAACACATCCTAATTGACTTGCTTTTTTTTTTTTTTTTGGGAATGAAAGGCTTCACACTTCTCTCCTGGGGTAAAAGCAAAAAAAATCTGCAGTTTGAAAACAAGTTGGATGTTGTCAGAAGTCTGTTGTTCCTCCCTTTCTTCCTCCTGCCCAGAGAAAAACTCAGTAATGAGACACATCTTTGTGGATCTTGTTTATCAGTTTGACAAAACTCGGGGGTAAAGATTGCTTTGACGGCACGCCGTTTCTCTCAATTTTTTCGACTACCTTCTGACCTAACGTCTTTGGCAGACAAATTTGAGAAAGATGAGAAAAGATTTTTCCCCCCTTTTTTGAAACGAACCCCTCACAACCAACTTTAATACATTTCATCCAAGACACTGAAAACAGCTCGACTGAGGTGTTTGGAGCATTTTCTTTCTCATCAGACATACTGTAAATAAAACAAGAGCGAGCTTTGACAGTCTGAAAATCTCCCTTGTCCACAGTGTTCTCATGCTGCACAGAAGCACAGTGAAGTAAAGCAGCAGGTTTCTAGGCGTGGTGAACATTTTGTCTTTCATTTTTGTTTTTTTTAACCAAACGAGGCCTGATGTGTCAGGGGACTTGTGCGCTGCCATGGGAAATAATCAATCAAATAAGCACACCAGTCCCCCAAAGGCATGGATATTGACCTTTGGAGTTAATGTTGCAAGAGGCTACTTGCACTCATCTGGCATTGGAAGGAAGCCACACAAAAAGCTGCAAAAATTCCAGATGACAGAACCTGGAGATAACCAAAGCAATGACACTACCACTTGCATCCACACATAGTCTTGGAGACTCGTGCACTTTTGCCACTCGCCACACAAACACACACACACCTCCACTCTCCTGCGGTGACATTTGAAGGACAGGGGCCTGGAGGGAGAACAGGTTTTGAGAGGTTAGATGAGGTGGAGGGGCTGGCTGGTTGAGGGTGTGAGGTAAACAACACCTCTGAGTTCAGCGTGCATGCTTAATGTGCTCTCTCGCGCTGACGGCTCCGCTGGGCAAGACTGCCGATGACAAGCTGTCTGGAGAAGTCTCCTACTCCTGCACCATCTCACTACCTCGGTCTCTCGCGCTGTCTGTTAGCTTTACTCTGTCCAGCTGTCCATGTCGGGTGCGGACAGCTTTTGGTGCAGTCTCGTTGGCTTTGTCTTCCCTGCCTGACACAATCCAACCTCTTTCCTCCTGGCTGTCATACCACAAGCTTAATCATTTAAATGTGGAAAAAAACAAAACACAGGCATAAAAATGAAGACTGGATGTGTGTGATTTTTTACATA